GTGCTTTCTTTTATTTATATTATTAATTAACTTTAACATTATTAGTTTCAGTATTTATTAGCAGCAAACGAAAGTGAATTCTTTTTTTTGTCAATTTTACCCCAAAAGTCATGCCACATCAACACCTCTCTTTACTTTTTGCCCCATTTCCAATCGGTCAATACCGGTTTTATATCCAAATTTTGATTGGTTAAAGCTTCTTAACCAGGCTTTTTTAGGATTTTTTGGTTAAGGTCATTATGAACGATTTCTTAATTAATGGAAACTCTTTGTCGAGAAAAAAAAAAGGGATTCATATACGGTTATGTACCAGAACCAAAGTAATATGTTTACTCCAATTCATTGTTTTTAAAACCAGACTGGCGGCCAAACCAAATCAATCTGATCCAACTGGATTTAACCAGAGTTTGATGATTTTTTTTTTAAATGCAAATATAATCAGTTTTATGTTCTTCTATCTATTGACTATGTCACGTGAATATATATATATATCCAAATATCAAACAAGCGTTTTGTTGCAAAACATTTAGTAGAATTATAGGGTTGAAAAAAAATTACTTCAATAATTTAGATTTAAAAGCAATAACAAACGTTACAATAAATTTATATATGAACATTCTATCATTATTGTCCATTAAAATTTAAAGTATAAACTCTATTAGTTTCTAAATCATATATTTATTATAAATTTTTAAAAGAAACATAATTAGAAAAAAATATTTAACAAACAATTGGGTCATAATGACCTCAACCAAAAGTAAAAGGTAATTGAATTGTTGTTGGTGATGTTTCTGAATTGCGATTTTTTAGTTTATGAACATGTCGTATTCGCCTATCACAACATTATCGGTTGTAGACATTGATTTCCCCATTCATTGATTCGTCAAAATTATTCATCTCCACATATTCTTCGACAACATCAGTTCTTCCCATGAACGACATCTGTTTGCAAATCGTCATCTAATCATTCCAAAATTCACTTAAGTACCATAACTGAAGACAATTCCGATACAAATGAACTATTTTTTATCGAAGGTATTGTCTTTTGAGACGCGTTGAAGTGAATCAGATAATTTGTTTTTCCTTGGAACAAAGATCGATTTTCTTGTAGGCCAAAGGAAACCGTAAAGAAATGGACGAACACCAATGATCATCGTTTTTAGAAAACTCTTATCAGTCGGAAATGCAATCTTCATTCGAGAAAAAAACGGTTGTAAAACCGACTCATTTGTGTCAAGGAAAAAACAAACACTAAACTTTGCATGGATGGATTAAAGGTATTAGGAGATCAAAGTATATAAGAGATGATAACTTTGTGCTGGGACGAAAGCTATAAAAGCTCGCAAAGAACTGATCTAAATTTATGAAGAAACTGGTGTAGATGTCACGGATAAGAAAAAAGAAAAACAATGAGAGATTTGGCGGCCAAAGCCGCCGATCACAACTGTGTTGAAGACGATTTGGCCGCCGATCGGACCTGTGTTGAAGACGATCAAGTGAAAGGTTACAAAGAGAAAAAAAACAGTTGAGAATGATTGTTCGATTACTTTTGTCGTTCTAATTGATTTTGCTTATTTCGTTAATTACACACTATTCACTTATTAAATCTAAATAAGATAAAATTCTAGTAAACAATACATTTTATATTGTAGATTGTTGTGCCTCATATTCTAACCATACTATATTATTAATTTTTTTGGTGGCTATTGAGCACCTTCATTTGTTTATTTTTTTGAAAAACTTTTTCTATTAAAATGCATACAAAATAAAAAGATTACAAGACCTAATCCATAGTTTTATACAAGGCCGGCTCTGAGTTAATGCCCAAGAAGTAAATGTGTTAGGCATCACTATTTTTTTTGTAGGGGCATCAATTTGAAATGTTTCTTAGGTGTAGTGGTCCATAAGGCTATCTTCTTCATTTCCTAATTTTTGGGTTTGAAACCCCTTAATCTATTGTAAAGGGCATCATTTTCTTCAAAATTTGTTCTTGATTTTTTGGATTGATCTTCAAAGTTCTTAAAACTTTTACTATCCCTTAGTTTTTATTTATGCTTTCATAAAAGATTATATTCAATTTGATTATGTTTATGTCATGTTTAGTGGATAGTAATTTGTTGGATCATGAATTATGCTAGCTTATGATGATTAAGTGGTTAAAAAAATCGATG